AGCGCTGCTTTGGCCGCCTGACGGACGCCTGGCGTCAGCAGTTCCCTGGGGCTAGTGAGATCCCTCGCTGGGATGAGCTTCTCAGGGCTGGTGTAGCGATCTTTGATCTGGATTTTGATGCTATCCTTACTGCTATGTATGTTGTGGATTATAGTGAGGAGAATGAGGGTTACCGTTGTTTCCAGCCCGACCCGGGCATTGGTACTGCTGCGCTAGGTGCTTGTGAGGCTGCTGCTCTAGGTGCCAGTGCGTCTGCGCTCTCAGGTACTGGTGAGACTGCGCTCTCAGGTACTGCGTCGTCCTCGTCCTCCCTCACTTTCACACTTGACTCTGGAGCTTCTCGCTCCTTCTTTCGAGACCGCACTACCCTTACGCCGCTCGGCCGGCCGGTTGCGGTCTCCCTTGCTGACCCCTCTGGAGGTCCTGTCCTGTCTCACTTCTCCACTGTCCTCCCGTGTCCGGCTGCCCCTTCGGGCACCCTGTCGGGTCTGTACCTTCCCTCGTTCTCTACGAACTTGGTGAGTGGAGCGGACCTGCAGGATGGCGGTGTTCACCAGTTCACTCCTGCGAGACAGCGGGTGACCCACTGCACGGAGGCACGCACAGGCCGACACCTGGCCACGTTCTCGCGTCGGCCGGGGTCGAGTCTCTACACCCTGACCGTTGAGTCTCCTCCTGTCCCTGCGTCTGGTCAGGTGGCTGCGTTGGGTCAGGTACTTGCTACTGCGTCCCGGTCAGGTCCTGAGTCTGCCCCCTGTTCTTGTCGCCTCCTGTCTCACGAGACTCTCCTGTGGCACCACCGTCTTGGCCACCCCTCCTTGCCCCGTCTTAGGAGCATGGCTTCCCGTGTCCTTGTCTCTGGTCTTCCCCAGTCTCTCCCTCCTCTCCCCTCCGGGCCAGGACCTTCCTGTGTCCCCTGTGTCGAGGGTCGCCTCCGGGCTACTCCTCACTCCTCCCACTTCCCCCCGACAGAGGCTCCCCTGCAGACGCTTCACATGGATGTGTGGGGCCCAGCCCCCGTCCGTGGGCAGGGTTACGAGCGCTACTTCCTGTTGGTGGTTGACGACTACTCGCGTTACACCACAGTCCTCCCCTTGCGCAGCAAGGGTGCGGTCACTGAGGTGCTGATCGACTGGATCCGCGAGGCTCGTCTCCAGCTCAGGAAGAGCTTCGGCTCGGACTTTCCTGTTCTGCGTCTGCACTCTGACAGAGGCGGAGAGTTCTCTTCTCGCCTTCTGCGAGACTACTGTCGTGCACGGGGGATCCGCCAGACCTTCACGCTTCCGGACTCACCACAGCAAAATGGGATTGCTGAGCGCCGCATTGGCATGGTCATGGATGTCGCTCGTACGTCCATGATGCATGCGGCTGCCCCCCATTTTCTGTGGCCGTTTGCGGTGAGGTACGCGGCGCATCAGCTCAACCTTCACCCCCGGGTCTCTCGGCCTGCGATGTCCCCAGCCTTGCTGTGGACGGGGAAGGTTGGCGATGCGTCTGTGTTCCGTGTCTGGGGATCTCGGGCGTTTGTCCGCGACTTGTCTGCGGACAAGCTGTCCCCTCGTGCTGCTCCCTGTGTCTTCCTTGGCTTCCCCACTGACGCCCCAGGGTGGCAGTTCTACCACCCCTCCTCTCGTCGTGTTCTGTCCTCCCAGGACGTCACGTTCGACGAGTCAGTCCCCTTCTACCGTCTCTTCCCCTACCGCACTCCTTCCCTCCCCCCTCCCCCGGACTTCCTTGTGCCGGTTCCCCCCCCGGTAGACCCCCTCCCCCCTCAGGTTCCTGCCCCCTCAGGTGTGTCCCAGGTAGACGCCGTTGACCCGGTCGAGGTTACTGGTGACTCTGGTGCTGCTGCGGGTGCTGAGCCTGGGGGTGCTGACTCTGGGGGTGCTGTGCGCGGGGGTGCTGAGCCTCGGGGTACTACTGCTGGGGGTGCTGGGCCTGAGGGTGCTACTGCGGAGGGTGCGGAGCCTGGGGGTGCTGAGCCGGGGGGTGCTGTGCCTGGAGGTGCTGGGTCTAGGGGTGCTGGGTCGGGAGCTGCTGAGCCTGGGGGTGCTGAGCTGGGAGCTGCTGAGCCTGGGGGTGCTGCGTCTGGTGCTGCTGAGCCTGGGGTTTCTCCTGCTGCTGCGTCTCGCCGGGAGCCCCTCTCTCCACAGGAGCTGCGCGAGTGGTTCGCTCGCCGCTGGAGGCGTGCTGCTGAGTCTGGAGGTGCTGCTGGAGCTGGAGCTGGGGCTTCTTCGACCGTCGAGTGTGCGGGTGCTGCCGGTCCCGGAGCTGCTGGACCTGCGGGTCCTCCTGGAGCTGGAGCTGCTGAGGGCGTTCGTGCTGAGCCTGCTGCTGTTGGTCCTGCCGCTGGAGGTGTGGGTGGCGCTGGTGCTGTCGCTGAGGGTGCTGGTGCTGTCCCTGCTGAGTCTGGAGCTGCTGCGCGGCCTCGGCCGTACTTCGTTCCGCTCCTGCAGCAGGTTCTTGGTCTTTCTCCTCCAGTAGAGGGTCCACCGCCTGTCCAGTCGCAGTCCCTACTGGAGCCTTCCTCTCCACTGCCTGCTCCCTCTCCTTACACTGGTCCTACTGGAGGTCTTGCTGAGCGTCGTGAGCCTGCGTCTCGTCCCGCGTCGCCTGTTCGTGCTGCTCGCGCTAGTGGTCGCAGTTCGCGTCAGCGTCCTCCTCCTGTCCCTGGCACGCACCGGATGTCTCTGCGTCCGTCCACTGCTCCTCTGCGTGCCCCTTTGCCTTCTCCTCCTGAGTCCTCTCTTCCTGCGCTTGTCGACCCTGAGTCGGACTCTCTTCGCGCTGCCAGTCCTACTGTCACGCGTCTGCTTGCTACTGTCGTCACTGACCCTTCTTTTGAGTCCACTGCTGCGTCTGCTCTAGTCGCTGAGCTCGTTGACTTTGCTGCTCGCTGTCGTCTCGACTACGCTGCTGGTCTTGTTGCTGAGTCTGCGTCTGTCTGTCCTCCGTCCGTCGGGGGTGAGTGTGCTTATGGCACGGACGTCCTAGAGGACAGGCAGGAGGAGTTACAGTGTCTAGCGGCTGCTTCACCTCATCTCGCGTCTGTACTGCTTGCCCCTGAGGGAGACCCGGATGCACTAGACATCCCGACTCCGCGTTCTTACGCGGAGGCCGTAGAGGGTCCCTACTCCTCTCAGTGGCAGGCAGCTATGGATGCAGAGATGGCTTCCTGGAAGTCCACAGGCACCTACGTTGACGCGGTCCCCCCTCCTGGGGCGAACATCGTCAGTGGCATGTGGATCTTCAGGGTGAAGCGGCCGCCGGGCTCTCCACCTGTCTTCAAGGCACGGTACGTTGCTCGTGGCTTCAGTCAGCGGCAGGAAGTTGACTACTTTCAGACCTTCTCTCCCACCCCGAAGATGACTACTCTTCGGGTGCTGCTGCACATAGCCGCTCAGCGCGACTACGAGCTTCACTCTCTCGACTTCAGCACTGCGTTCTTGCAGGGTAGCCTGCACGAGGAGATCTGGCTTCGCCGTCCACCTGGCTTCACTGGGACTTTCCCTCCTGGCACCCAGTGGAGCCTCCGACGGCCAGTCTACGGTCTCCGCCGGGCACCGCGTGAGTGGCACGACACACTGAGGACTACGCTTGCGGCTCTTGGGTTTGCTCCTTCTACTGCAGACCCGTCGCTGTTTCTTCGCACCGACACTTCCCTGCCGCCGTTCTACATCCTCGTGTACGTCGACGACTTGGTCTTTGCCACAGCGGACACTGCTGGACTCGCCTACGTGAAGTCCGAGCTGCTGAAGAGACACACGTGCACAGACCTGGGTGAACTGCGCAGCTACCTTGGCTTGCAGATCACTCGGGACAGAGCACGCCGCACCATTACCTTGACTCAGTCACACATGGTGCAGCAGGTCCTTCAGCGCTTCGGCTTCACGTACTCCTCGCCTCAGGCCACTCCTCTGCCTACTCGCCACTCACTCTCAGCTCTGCCTTCGGATGAGTCCGTAGAGTCGAGTGGTCCGTATGCAGAGCTTGTTGGCTGCCTCATGTACCTGATGACCTGCACACGACCTGACCTTGCATACCCTCTGAGCATTCTTGCACGCTATGTTGCTCCTGGGAGACACAGACCGGAGCACATGGCTGCAGCGAAGAGGGTATTGCGCTACCTGTGCAGTACGTCGGGCATGGGGCTAGTGCTTGGAGGGCGGAGTCCAGTGGTCCTTACCGGCCACGCGGACGCTTCTTGGGCTGACGACCAGGCTACGCAGCGGTCGTCACAGGGTTACACCTTCAGCCTTGGTTCCGGCTCTGTCTCGTGGCGGTCTACTCGCTCGTCTTCGGTTCTCGGCTCCAGTTGTGAGGCTGAGATCTACGCCGGGGCCATGGCTGCACAGGAGCTTCGCTGGCTCACCTACCTGCTGACTGACCTTGGAGAGCCGCCTCGTTCTCCTCCAGTGCTGTACGTAGACAACAAGGCCATGCTGGCCTTGTGTCGAGAGCAGCGCTTGGAGCACAGAACGAAGCACATTGCTCTCCGCTACTTCCTTGCTCGTGAGCTGCAGCAGCGTGGTCAGTTGCGACTTGCGTACGTGGCCTCTGAGGCCAACACTGCTGATGTGTTCACCAAGGCACTCGCGCCTTGTGACCATCAGCGCTTTTGCACCCAGCTGGGTCTTGTGCCTGTCTTGCCTCACTTGCTCTCCTCTTGACTTCACTTGTACTGTGACATATATATATGCCTGCTCTTGCTTGTCTAGTTTTATATATATGTCTGTACTCCTGCATGTGAACTGGCCTCTGGCCCTACTCTTGTGCTCGGACTGTGTGGTGACTTTGTGATCCACCCTGAGCTTGCTTTGCTTTGCTTGACTGGTCTTGTGACCCCTTGTTCTCCCCCACTTTGCCTATGGGGGTGTGTCAGATTTATATGACATAGTTGCTGTAGGCTATAGTGGGGTAGCACATATGGGGTACAGGTTTTCTAGGGTTGTATTTGTACCCAATCTTTCCTTAGTCATTTCATCCCTACTTACTCATTTTCACAGTAACCCCTGCGCCCACCAGGTAACCCCTGCGCCCACCAGGTAACCCCTGCGCCCACCAGGTAACCCCACCGCCCACCAGGTAACCCCACCGCCCACCAGGTAACCCCACCGCCCACCAGGCAACCCCACCGCCCACCAGGTAACCCCACCGCCCACCAGGTAACCCCACCGCCCACCAGGTAACCCCACCGCCCACCAGGTAACCCCACTGCCCACCAGGTAACCCCACCGCCCACCAGGTAACCCCACCGCCCACCAGGTAACCCCACCGCCCACCAGGTAACCCCACCGCCCACCAGGTAACCCCACCGCCCACCAGGTAACCCCACCGCCCACCAGGTAACCCCACCGCCCACCAGGTAACCCCACCGCCCACCAGGTAACCCCACCAGCCACCAGGTAACCCCACCACCCACCAGGTAACCCTGTTACCAACCTGGAGGTGGTACATTTGCCCGTGATGATCAGCTTGGCCGCGCCTGAGAGTGCGGGGAGGGGGCTGCGGGAAGGAGAGCAGGAAGAAGGGGGAATGGGGAAGGGGGTAGGGGGGAGGTGTGTAGGGGTTGGTGGGAGAAGAGGAGGGAGTGGGCAGGGGGAGTTGTGAGGGAGGAAAGGGACTGGGAAGAGCAAGATGGTAGAGGGCTAGGAACGAGGGTTGAATCGATTCAAGAAAGAAGAGAGTGGGCTCGAAATCAAGGAGTAATGCAGCCAGATAGGGCAGGGTGTGACGAGGTGGCAAGTTGGGTCGGTACCAAACTAACCGGCTCTCGTGGCCTCAGGTGGCATGACGTGGCAAGTGCACACGTGGCAAGATGTGACGTGTGCAGACGTGGTTTGGAGGGGAACTTACGCCCTGAGCTGCACGTTGGATGTGAGATCGAGCACTGTGGGAGACGCGGTTGCTCCTCCCTGTATTCACGCCACGTGGATGCAACACATTCAAGCACATACACAAACGCGCACATTCCGAGAGTGGGCAAAATGGTCCAATGGAAACTGTCTGGCTGGTATCACCCACAAGTGTTCAAAAAAAAAAAAAAAGCAAGCTTGCAGGTCTTAGGATCGTAAACGCCTTAGTCGGCAATAGTCTACTTGCTATTGCTTATCGTGTTCTCCACGATCTCCCGAATCCAATGATATGCGCAGCTCTGCTTGAAGTTGTCAATACACACTTCAGCAATTTTCAGAATCTCAATGCTGTCCAATGTTGTATTTCCAGAATGAGTACAAACAGTTTTATAGTCAGGCAAGACACAAAATGCAATTCGTAACTTCACTTGTTTCCCAAGTAACCGCGTGCGCCTCGTTTCACCCCGAGTCGCACACGCAACCGAACCGAATTCGGTGAACACTCCTCAAGACCGAATCTAGAACCTTCTCGAACACGCCTCGAGCTCGAACCACAATATCCCCTCGCCAACTTCAATCTCGATGCTTCTTCCACCTTCTCACACATTCCTTCTCGATTTCTCTCTCCCTTCTCACGCCGTAGGCCGATTTCCACCGTTTCACCTAGAATCATCCACGCGCTTCCATTTCGCCGTCATTCCGCCGTCGTAGAGACTTTCGCCATAGGTTCCGTGGTTGGGCGAACCAACCCTAACAGCAGGGAAACCGCGTAAAAAGCACATCATATTTAGACTCTAGATATCATGAGTAAGATCGACCTCGCCATCATTCGTCGATAACTACCTCCAAAGGCGACTCGTCTGCCTTTGCCTCGCGACACATCAGCAACACGCTAATAGCAGCTGAGTCCGAAGCTTCGTGGAGTCCACTTCATTGCGACGAGTTTTGAGACGTCTCAAAACTGGAAAATCTCTTGCAAGGCTTCGGATTGAGAAGCCTGTCCTGGCTGAGGCTAGCTCCTCGAGGTAACCTCTGTTGGAGGTGAGTCGGGCTCAGCTCCCTTGTTAGGCTCGTCACGTGATTCGGGCTCAGCTCCCTCTATAGGATCGTTACGCGATTCGGACTTAGCTCCCTTGTAAGGCCCGTTCCGCGATTCGGGCTCAGCTCCCTCGATAGGCTCGTTCCGCGATTCGGGCTCAGCTCCCTTGCTAGGATAATTACGCGATTCGGACTCAGCTCACTTGTTAGGGTCGTTACGCGATTCGGACTCAGCTCCCTTGTTAGGCTCGTTAAGCGATTCGGGCTCATCTCGCGCCGCGGCTTCGGCGAAGCCGGCGAGGCTGCGGAGCTCCGAACTCCCGTAGTTGAGATGGAACACGCGCGATCGCATTGCTGACGTTTCAGCTCCCACGCCGTATGCCGACGCGGTAGTAGTAGTATTAGGTTCCAACTCGATAGCGTCTCTGGCTGTGACGCCATCATATTTGGCAATGAGGGCGTGGAAGAACACCAACAGATGGATATGATTGCGGACTATAGCTACTATCGATGCGATGCGATCAATGTAAAATAATCTCAAACGCAAATTTCTGGCGCCCGGATACCTGTCAACGAAAAAGCACACCTGTGAAACTACCGACACCAGACGATGCGATGATGGGATGATGTGATGTATACCTGGATCGCCTCGCTGACGACATCCTCCACAGTTCTGACGCCGCGATAGTCGCGATGATACTCTACCGGTGTCGCGGTACTCTTATTGTGAATCTATCCATCCGTACCGCGTTCGCCTTGTACTGCCGGGTGTGAATCTCACGGTACTCTTGGTGCGAATCTCGCGGTACTCTCGGTGTGAATCTCGCGGTACTCTCGGTGTGAATCTCGCGGTACTCTCGGTGTGAATCTCGCGGTACTCTCGGTGTGAATCTCGCGGTACTCTCGGTGTGAATCCATCCATCCTTACCGCGTTCGCCTTGTTGATGGCATCTTCCAGCTCCGACGCCGCGATAGCCGCGGGGCTGCAGATTATCCCGCGATGAGGCGGGACGAGGAGAGACGCGGCGACGAGGAGAGAAATGTTGCGTTGGCATGTGATTCTGTCACGAGCCATGGCGGACTAGACTGATGGTGGCAAACAATCGAATCTCGTGAGCGGCAATGCTCGTAGTGCGAGCACTAAGAGGAACTATCCTTGCCGAAAACGCGAGAACCAAGACGAGCTGATCGTAAGGGAAGATGTCAGCGGAATCAGGTCGACAAGCCTGTCGACCTGTGTCGACCTGTCGACCTGCTGCCCCGGGCAGCAAAAAAACTAAACCCCCATCGGATGGCATGCCATCCGAGGGAGCCTCAACCCTAAACACCATGCCTCCAGGCATTTAGGGTTGAGGCTCCCTGACCGGATGCATGCCCATCTGGGGTTTATTTTTTTTGCCCGCGGGCAGCGAGCTCCCTCGGGCGTCGACCTGATTCCGCTGAGCTATTTTCGGCGGAGGCGCGCCTATCATATTGGAGCACGCGAGGGTGGGAACTGTATGCGCAAGACCCCCGAGCCTGGGCAGCAAAGAAACGCAGCGCATATGCGTCACTTGCGGCGAACGGAAACATGAGCGATTGTGCCCATTCTACCGCATTGCAGGGCTCGCAGTCATGCCTGCCTGGCATCATGGCGGGAATAGCGGCCAGGAGAAATGGAAGCAGGGGAAGATTTTCGTTATTGAAGGCACGGATATTATTCTGTGATTGTAATCATGTAGATACAAAAACCGTAGAGTGACTGAGAATATGGCTAATCAGGCCGACTACTGGATGTGTACGTGTAGTGCGTTACCCTCCAGTGATTCACCTCAAAGTTTTGGAAGCGTTTTTTTCCACTATTTGGAGCAGGCTTAACCACATCGGCGGTGTACCCTTTCAGAGACGGATAGACAGACTGAGCACGAGAACCAGACATTAAGGCGCAATCACTTTCACTGGATATGGCAAAAATCAAATCAAGCTATCGTCACTATGGTTAAATGAATATCGGATATTCAAACTCTGAATTTTGCCACTATTCTTGTACAAATAGCTCGGGCATTCAAAAGTAACACACGTCAAGGTTCGAACAAGTCGTCTTGCACCTCGTTTCGGTAGTGTCGCCATCGCCGCACAAAATCTGATTGGGTAAATACGAAATCAGATAGTGAGCGTAGTAACATTGTACAAGTTGGAGCCTAAGCTGCACTGCCGAGTGATGCTAGAACGTTGGCGGAAATTAAAAATCCGAACACGTCAAACTTGAAGTATTAACTGCCCTGAAGTGTCCTCGCGAAGGTAATCGCGATAATAGCGAAGACTGTATATTTTCAAAAGTTGATAATTTTCGAACGCTAGTGCACACGCCCTTAGAGTATAATCTTTGCAGCAGATGCACGTTGTTGCCTCTTGGGATAATCAACTGAGAATGGAAGAGTTCGACAACACTTATAATTTGTCTACAAGCATATCACCATTTTTTGCATTGTACGGTTTGTCAAATGTCCATTGGAGATCCCCGATTGATGTTAGGGAATGGTTACAGGCACGTTGCCTGGGGATTATGGGTGCACTCACCCGCTACACAAACAAGCCCTTTTATCCCAGTGGTTAGTGGCTGGAATTCTGACATGGTATCACAGCGATGATCTCCGGTTTGAATCCTAGTGTTGCACCTAGGGCATTCCAGTGCGGGGGGGTGCCAGAGGTTCACTAGAGATCCTTGATTGATCCTAGGGAAGGGTTACAGGCACGTTGGCCTTGGAGGTTATGGGCGCACCCACCCGTTGCACAAACAAGCCATTTTATCCTAGTGGTTAGTGGCTGGAATTCTGACACGGTCAGCACCCGAATGTCCCCATTCGTGTCGACCTGATAGCTATAATTCTTTGTGCAAACAACTTCATCAGCATCTCACATTTATTTATATGTGCCACGAGATCTCGTTTTCAGTCGGCGATCATGTTTATTCGCAAGCCCCGCCCCCTTCGAGTATCGCCATGAGAGGTTCAGACTTTAGGGAAACTGTGGCCCCACATCGTTGGCACTGATCCAATAGCAGCAGCAGGAGCCGCAGCCGCAGCTGCAGTAGCAGCAGCACCCGCAGCCGCAGTAGTAGTAGCAGCAGTAGCCGCAGCAGCAGTAGTCGTAGCATTCACAGCAGTAGCCACAGCAACGGCAGCAGCAGCAATCATAGCCTTCTTGGTTTTCCTTACCTTTCGAGAGCCAATCTTCCCTCCTCCCTCACATTGCCTCTCCTGGACTCATCTTTGACTCGTTTCCCTCCTTGTTTTCTACTGTCCCCTCCTCTCTTTCCTGATCTGTTCCTTGCATCCCCCCCCCAGGTCTCGTCGTGCCCCTAGTGCTCGTCCCTTGTTTCCAGTTCCTAGTTTCCATTCTTTGACCCCCCGTTCTCTCCCTCCATATGTCCCTCCTCTACTTACAATCTTACCCCCTTCACCGTCTCTTTCAGCCTCTCCTCTCCCATTCTCTGACTACCTCCATAGCATTCGCACAACAATCTTCCATATCCTCTCCTCCCTTGCCACTGACCCTACTTCTCCTTCGTCTACTGTCTCTGCTCTAGCTCCTCCTCCGACTTTGCCTCCACCCACTGCCTTGACTATGTCGCTCTGCTGGTCTCTGAATCTGCCATTCCATTGTTCGTCGGGAGTGCGCCTGCATTTGGCAACGACGTCTTTGAGGGCAGTCAATTGAAGGTGACTTTCCTTGCAGCCGATGCTCCTTACAATGTGCCATGCTACTAGCCCCTGAGGGTGGCCCAATGCTCTCGATATCCAAAATTTTCATACCTATGCTAAGGCAGTCTAAGGATCCTGAGCTTCTCAGAAGATAGCAGCCACGGACAAAGAGATAGCATTAGGTCCACATGCACCTATATCAACGCCGTTCCCCCCTCCTATGGTGAACGTAGTCTATGACATGTGGATCTTCAAGGTGAAATTGCTACCCGAATCACCGCATGTCTTCAAGGCACACTATTTGGAAAGAATTCGTCAACGAGAGGGGGTGGATTTCCTCCAAACCTTCTCCCCAACCCTGAAAATGATAATTCTTTAGGTGTTTTTGCACATCGTGGTACAGTGTGACTACAAGCTTCGCTCATTAGACTCCTCCACGGCCATCCTCCAGGACAGCATGCATGAACAGATCTAGTCTGCCGCCGTCCTAGTTTTACTGGGTCATTCATTCTTGGTAACAACTGGAGCCTTCAGCGGCCAGTCTACATGAGTGGCATGACACGTTACATACTACTCATACTGCCCTTGGCTTTTCTCTGTCCTTTGCTGACCCTTATCTCTTCATTAGCTCAATGTCGTTCCACATCCTTATCTACATCGACGACTTCATCTTTGCTAATCGCGATACAGCCGTACTGGCCTCAACGAAGGCAGAGCTATAGAGGAGACACAGCTGCACTGACCTAGGTGAGCTGTACCACTATCTTGGCTGGCCGATCACCTGAAACAGAGTAGCACGCACGATCACACAGACTCAATCACATATGGTGGCAGCAGATTCTCGAGCAGTTCAACCTTCAATGCTCTTCTCCACAGCCCACTCCTCTTGCTGTCGACCATAATCTTTTGGCTTCCGCCCTGACAAGTCTGCTGAGCCTAGTGGCCTGTACAGAGAGCTGGCGGGGAGCCTCATACATCTGATAACCTGTACTCACCCTACTTTTGCATATTCGCTCAACATCCTTGCTCACGTTGCTGTGACTGGGAGACACCGACTCATCCACTGGTCTTCCTCTGAAGGGGTTGTGACGCTACCAAACGAGCACGTCAGTCATAGGTCTTGTGCTTGGAGGACGATAGCCAGTCGGACTCACCAGGCATACTGATGCGTCGTGGCTTACAGGGACGAGACTTAGAGTTCACAGTTTTAGAATCGGTTCTAAAGTTGTCTCATGAAGTCGACGCGCTCATCGTCAGGTACCACAGGTCAATATGCTTTGCCCAACCCTCAAGTTGAGGCTCCGGACGTAGGAGGATCATGGTTCTGACATCAGCGAACAGGACAAGGGCAAAGAAAGGTGGCTCACATAGGTCAATGAGAAAAGAGGGCAGCTTCCTACGCAACCACAGCACCGACATGGATCTCAATCGTGGCGAGGACGGTTCTTACTTGCTAGTTTCATTATCTTTGTGTCTAGTACTGTCCGTGACTCTACCTACACATATACTATCTCATAGACTGGCTTTTTGGCCATTTGTGGCCCTTTGATCTTAGTTTTGCTTAGTTCCTTAGCGCTTGCGCATTCACGGGAGGATTTGGCAACAATTTCACTAGGCAAATATTGCATTTTAGAATGATCGAACAAGTAATGCAGGAAATGACTACATCAGGCACCTAGCAACCCTGCAACTAGCCTGGTCGACCGCCAGTACAGCTTGGTCGACCTCCTGCCAGCGTTGCGTAGAGGAGCCGTGCCAGCACTGCAGAAGGGCGACCTGCCAACAGAGCAAGTCGACGGCGTGCCAACACTGCAGCAGGGCGGCTGTCTAGCGTTGCCCCGTAGAAGACATCATTGCGCACGCTCGCAGGTGCGCGCAGATGGTTGGCCCGACTTGCATTGCTGTGCATCCGTCGGCTGTTGTCTGCGCCTGAAGAGCCACATCGACTTCGGGATACCAGCCCGGATTCGCCTGCGTCACTGCGACCTCAACAACGTTCGCGCGCCTCCGCAGGACTTGCCGAGCAGGTTACTTGGTCGACCTGGAAACCACCATGTCGGTGTGGACATGGTGACCAGAATTTGTACGTGCTCGTCGACCACCCAGTGCTCTGGTCGACGACTCCCTCGTCCACAATAGCTCCTGTTGAGCAACACCCTGGTCGACGAACCCCTTCCGTCGACCGGCACTGCAGGTGCTGTCGGCGAGCTCCCCTCGTCGACTGCTGCTCCTCCTGGTTGACGGCCCGCCCGTCGACGAGCCTTGTCACTTGCGACCGTCAATCTCTTCTGGTTGACGGCTCCAGCCTCGCGATAATCTTGTGCAAGTCGACGATTACCTCGTCGACCTGCCCCGCAGAAGAAGGCCGTCGAACCCCCTTACTGTGTTGCTCCGTGTGTGCACAGCTTGCTCTCTGCTGGCAGTGGTCTTAGCTTTAACGGGTTGTATGTTTCAATGCACCCTGTATTGGTGCAGTAGTGGTTAGTTAAATACCGGTAGGTTCTTTTGCTGCCCTCTTGCTGGTTCTTGTTGCTTAGTAGGCGTCACTTTCTTGACAAGCTGCCACAAATGGTGCAGTGTTAAAAGCAGCTCTCTGCAAACCGGTACTAGCTGAAGAGGGTGGCATTTCGAAACAGCACCAATGATATTTGCTTGAAGGAAAAGATTGTGTGATAATGTGTCAGGTATTCTAACAAGTGTTGCTTCACAGGAGAGAGCCCTCCACCCAACCCATTGGCTGGTGGAAGGTGGTCCACGAACGACCACCACCAAGAATTGTTCCCCGAAACATAAAATTTCTGTTTGGCGTAGAATTACGCAGAACACCCAACTGGAAGGCCATCATCAACAGAATTGAGTCTGCTAACAACAGCTCTGATGCCAACTTGCTCACGAATCCATGCCTCATCTTACATGCCCAAGCCCAACGCTAAGCCGCATTCTGCACATGCTGTTGTAGCAGTACTGATTTTGATTCCTCCTCTCTAGCTTGGACGAACCACTCCCTGTACCGTTGAAACACACCCAACCTGATGGCGTACCGAATAACTTGAAAGAAGTGAAGCATGTGATGGTGGTTGTGGCTGAAGGGAGTTGCGTTGGGGTAAGAGGAAGCAACAGAACAAGGGCGCAGGTGGCAGAGCGCAGAGCAGAGCAGCAGCATGCAGTGAATAGAGTGTACCGTGAGGACAAAAATGACCAGCCTGTGGATGATGCGTGCATGGGGTCAGCCCTGCAGAGCCACTGCAGCCAGGCATGAGAGCAAGGCGCAGTGGCAGCAGGGCGAACTTGTTGAGTGTGCATGGCGCAATCAACAGCAGGAGAGCACAAGTTGGTGGGAACAGGGACAGCCAGCGGGCCATTGAGCGGGGAAGTGGTGACACACTGGTACATTCATGAGCACTCCAGGCAGCGCTACTTCACTCCCGTGTGCCACACCCCCCCTGGCACACCCCCTCCTGGCACACCCCCCCCTGGCACACCCCCCCCTGGCACACCCCCCCCTGCCACACCCCCCCCTAGCACACCCAACGCGACTCACCCAACGCCGCTCACCCCACGCGGCTCACCCCTCGCGGCTCACCCCTCGCGGCTCACCCCTCGCAGCTCACCCCTCGCAGCTCACCCCTCGCGGCTCACCCCCGGCGGCTCACCCCTCGCTTTGCGACAATGCAGCAAAGAGAACCACCAGCATCAGCAGCACAGCCACTCACATGTCCAGCAGCACAGCCACTCACATGTCCAGCAGCACGAGGGCGAGCATCTCATGGGCGTCCAGCAGGTGGTGCAGGTAGGCGCGCGTGTGGCGGGTGCACGTGTAGCACGCGCATGTGCGCGATATGGGGATGAAACTGCGCCTGGTAGCGCCCACAGACGGGGTGCGCGGATGGAGGGCAGACACGTAGTGAAGAAGTGAGAGGGAGCAGGTGGGAGAAGCCGACAAGTGAGGGCGGGAAGAATAAAGGAAGACTGCGCGTAAGTCATAGCGTGAGGGCGCAAGGCAGGTTTAGCATGGTGGAGCAAGCACAGCATGGTCCTGGCACAGCATGGTCCTGGCACAGCATGGTCCTGGCATAGCTACCCAGGCGGGACAGTAGTGTGATAATGGCACTGACTTGTGCGATGAGCACCGCAGGTTCATCTTCGACCCGTACACCTCCTCCCCTTCCTTCTCTTTCCCCACTTCACTTAAAACCCCATCCGCCTCCACTGCCCCCCCATCCCTCTCCTCTTTCGTCCCCCCCTGCCCTTCCCCCTCTCCCGGCGCCACGGTGTGCGGCCACCAGGGCGGGTGGAGGGGCAGCGTGGAGGCGAGGCCGAGGAGGGTGAGGTCGTGGGGGTACCTGCACGCGGGGGACACGGGTGAGGTTTGTCAGATGCCATGGCGCGGATAGTGCATGGCACAGGGCGGGCACGGCATGGCACATGCAGAAACGGACATGCATGGAAGGTTTGAAGAGGGTGCATGCAAGGGGGGGGTGCATGCATGCGGGAGGGGTGGCACTGACGTGCAGTCAAAGAGGTCAACGCCCCTGGCCACCGCGTGCAGCACCTCCTCTGCTCGCCGCCACGCCATGGGGGGAAGGGGAGGGGCGACACACGGTGGAGAGGGGCGACACACGGTGGAGAGGGGCAGGTGGAGTGCAGGAGGTGAGTGTCCCGAGTGGGGCAAGGCAAGGCGTACATGGCATGGCAGGCATGGACGAGGTGCAGAGCACAGCAGAGGAGCAGAGGAATTCACGTGGAGCATTCGAAATGGAGCACCATTTATCCTTCCCCCTTTCTCCCTTGCACTCTTGACTCTACCTCGCGTGCCCACCTTACCTTAGTGGTTGTATGTACCTGGTGTGTTGAATGTACCTGGTGTGTTGAATGTACCTGGTGTGTTGAATGTACCGGTGTGTTGAATGTACCTGGTGTGTTGTGCCACAAGCGCCGCCCTGCTCAAGAGCAACGGGCTCACAGCACATGACACGCCCACGTATCGTGTAGATCTTGGATCAGAGTACAAATGAGATAGGGCCTGTCTGTAGGTTGTAGTGTAGCTGAGTACTGTTGTTTGACTGCTCAATCAAGAAATGCCATTCGTACAAGGATTAGAGCTTCAATGATCAAGAAATAGCATCTCTGTCTCTCAAGCGATCCTAGAGCTTCATGTGAGCTCAATATGGTACGATACCTTGGTTTTTATTCAGGCTAAATACCTCCCTCGGAAAGGGCGGATTGGGAGACTGCAGGGCAGAGCATTGAGCCAGCAGGAAGCTAGACGAGCGCCGTATTCACTTAATCAGCACACATGCGCACGTGGATGGTAGTGCTCGCGGTGAGGGGTGGCCCTGCAGCTCAACTGGAGTGGTGCATGCACTCGTCTGTACAGTCATTATCTGTACATGCCCGAACCACTGGGGGCCAAGCCCTGTTCAGGCAAGGCTGCTAAGGGTGGTTTGGCTTCAAGGCCAGTAACGGCAGCGGAAGCAAGAGTTTCAAACAGGCTGCAGAATTTCCTGCGGTGACTGCGCTGGTTGCTGCACACACGGCAAGGAGGGTAGGGAGAGGGCACGGAGAAGGCAGCGAAAGGGCAGGGAGTGGGGAGGGAAAGGGCAGGGAGATGGCAGGGGGAAAGTGCAGGGAGATGGCAGGGGGACGGCACAGCGAGGGCAGAGACGGGGCATTGTGGGCAGCGACGGGGCATTGAGGGCCAAAGACAAGTTAAAGTGAGTACAGGCATGTGTGTCTGCGCGTGTGCAAAATAAATGGATGAAAGGAAGCAAGGGAGGAGGGAGGGAAGCGTGTGAAGAGCACGGCGAGCAGCTCATCAGACCATCCCCCTCTCCTTCCTTCCGTCTCGTCACACGCCCTGTCTTCACCTCACATCCCCGCCTCGTGCCCTCTCCTTGCCTCACATCCCCGCCTCGTGCCCTCTCCTTGCCTCACATCCCCGCCTCGTGCCCTCTCCTTGCCTCACATCCCCGTCTCGTGCCCTCTCCTTGCCTCACATCCCTGCCTCGTGCCCTCTCCTTGCCTCACATCCCCGCCTCGTGCCCTCTCCTTGCCTCACATCCCCGCCTCGTGCCCTCTCCTTGCCTCACATCCCCGCCTCGTGCCCTCTCCTTGCCTCACATCCCCGCCTCGTGCCCTCTCCTTGCCTCACATCCCCGTCTCGTGCCCTCTCCTTGCCTCACATCCCCGCCTCGTGCCCTCTCCTTGCCTCACATCCCCGCCTCGTGCCCTCTCCTTGCCTCACATCCCCGCCTCGTGCCCTCTCCTTGCCTCACATCCCCGCCTCGTGCCCTCTCCTTGCCTCACATCCCCGTCTCGTGCCCTCTCCTTGCCTCACATCCCCGCCTCGTGCCCTCTCCTTGCCTCACATCCCCGCCTCGTGCCCTCTCCTTGCCTCACATCCCCGCCTCGTGCCCTCTCCTTGCCTCACATCCCCGCCTCGTGCCCTCTCCTTGCCTCACATCCCCGCCTCGTGCCCTCTCCTTGCCTCACATCCCCGTCTCGTGCCCTCTCCTTGCCTCACATCCCCGCCTCGTGCCCTCTCCTTGCCTCACATCCCCGCCTCGTGCCCTCTCCTTGCCTCACATCCCCGCCTCGTGCCCTCTCCTTGCCTCACATCCCCGCCTCGTGCCCTCTCCTTGCCTCACATCCCCGCCTCGTGCCCTCTCCTTGCCTCACATCCCCGCCTCGTGCCCTCTCCTTGCCTCACATCCCCGCCTCGTGCCCTCTCCTTGCCTCACATCCCCGCCTCGTGCCCTCTCCTTGCCTCACATCCCCGCCTCGTGCCCTCTCCTTGCCTCACATCCCCGCCTCGTGCCCTCTCCTTGCCTCACATCCCCGCCTCGTGCCCTCTCCTTGCCTCACATCCCCGCCTCGTGCCCTCTCCTTGCCTCACATCCCCGCCTCGTGCCCTCTCCTTGCCTCACATCCCCGCCTCGTGCCCTCTCCTTGCCTCACATCCCCGCCTCGTGCCCTCTCCTTGCCTCACATCCCCGCCTCGTGCCCTCTCCTTGCCTCACCTCCCCGCCTCGTGCCCTCTCCTTGCCTCACATCCCCGCCTCGTGCCCTCTCCTTGCCTCACATCCCCGCCTCGTGCCCTCTCCTTGCCTCACATCCCCGCCTCGTGCCCTCTCCTTGCCTCACATCCCCGCCTCGTGCCCTCTCCTTGCCTCACATCCCCGCCTCGTGCCCTCGGTCCTTGCCTCACATCCCCGCCTCGTGCCCTCTCCTTGCCTCACATCCCCGCCTCGTGCCCTCTCCTTGCCTCACATCCCCGCCTCGTGCCCTCTCCTTGCCTCACATCCCCGCCTCGTGCCCTCTCCTTGCCTCACATCCCCGCCTCGTGCCCTCTCCTTGCCTCACATCCCCGCCTCGTGCCCTCTCCTTGCCTCACATCCCCGCCTCGTGCCCTCTCCTTGCCTCACATCCCCGCCTCGTGCCCTCTCCTTGCCTCACATCCCCGCCTCGTGCCCTCTCCTTGCCTCACATCCCCGCCTCGTGCCCTCTCCTTGCCTCACATCCCCGCCTCGTGCCCTCTCCTTGCCTCACATCCCCGCCTCGTGCCCTCTCCTTGCCTCACATCCCCGCCTCGTGCCCTCTCCTTGCCTCACATCCCCGCCTCGTGCCCTCTCCTTGCCTCACATCCCCGCCTCGTGCCCTCTCCTTGCCTCACATCCCCGCCTCGTGCCCTCTCCTTGCCTCACATCCCCGCCTCGTGCCCTCTCCTTGCCTCACATCCCCGCCTCGTGCCCTCTCCTTGCCTCACATCCCCGCCTCGTGCCCTCTCCTTGCCTCACATCCCCGCCTCGTGCCCTCTCCTTGCCTCACATCCCCGCCTCGTGCCCTCTCCTTGCCTCACATCCCCGCCTCGTGCCCTCTCCTTGCCTCACATCCCCGCCTCGTGCCCTCTCCTTGCCTCACATCCCCGCCTCGTGCCCTCTCCTTGCCTCACCTCCCCGCCTCGTGCCCTCTCCTTGCCTCACATCCCCGCCTCGTGCCCTCTCCTTGCCTCACATCCCCGCCTCGTGCCCTCTCCTTGCCTCACATCCCCGCCTCGTGCCCTCTCCTTGCCTCACATCCCCGCCTCGTGCCCTCTCCTTGCCTCACATCCCCGCCTCGTGCCCTCTCCTTGCCTCACATCCCCGTCTCGTGCCCTCTCCTTGCCTCACATCCCCGCCTCGTGCCCTCTCCTTGCCTCACATCCCCGCCTCGTGCCCTCTCCTTGCCTCACATCCCCGCCTCGTGCCCTCTCCTTGCCTCACATCCCCGCCTCGTGCCCTCTCCTGCCTCACATCCCCGTCTCGTGCCCTCTCCTTGCCTCACATCCCCGCCTCGTGCCCTCTCCTTGCCTCACATCCCCGCCTCGTGCCCTCTCCTTGCCTCACATCCCCGCCTCGTGCCCTCTCCTTGCCTCACATCCCCGCCTCGTGCCCTCTCCTTGCCTCACATCCCCGCCTCGTGCCCTCTCCTTGCCTCACATCCCCGCCTCGTGCCCTCTCCTTGCCTCACATCCCCGCCTCGTGCCCTCTCCTTGCCTCACATCCCCGCCTCGTGCCCTCTCCTTGCCTCACATCCCCGTCTCGTGCCCTCTCCTTGCCTCACATCCCCGCCTCGTGCCCTCTCCTTGCCTCACATCCCCGCCTCGTGCCCTCTCCTTGCCTCACATCCCCGCCTCGTGCCCTCTCCTTGCCTCACATCCCCGCCTCGTGCCCTCTCCTTGCCTCACATCCCCGCCTCGTGCCCTCTCCTTGCCTCACATCCCCGCCTCGTGCCCTCTCCTTGCCTCACATCCCCGCCTCGTGCCCTCTCCTTGCCTCACATCCCCGCCTCGTGCCCTCTCCTTGCCTCACATCCCCGCCTCGTGCCCTCTCCTTGCCTCACATCCCCGCCTCGTGCCCTCTCCTTGCCTCACATCCCCGCCTCGTGCCCTCTCCTTGCCTCACATCCCCGCCTCGTGCCCTCTCCTTGCCTCACATCCCCGCCTCGTGCCCTCTCCTTGCCTCACATCCCCGCCTCGTGCCCTCTCCTTGCCTCACATCCCCGCCTCGTGCCCTCTCCTTGCCTCACATCCCCGCCTCGTGCCCTCTCCTTGCCTCACATCCCCGCCTCGTGCCCTCTCCTTGCCTCACATCCCCGCCTCGTGCCCTCTCCTTGCCTCACATCCCCGCCTCGTGCCCTCTCCTGCCTCACATCCCCGCCTCGTGCCCTCTCCTTGCCTCACATCCCCGCCTCGTGCCCTCTCCTTGCCTCACATCCCCGCCTCGTGCCCTCTCCTTGCCTCACATCCCCGCCTCGTGCCCTCTCCTTGCCTCACATCCCCGCCTCGTGCCCTCTCCTTGCCTCACATCCCCGCCTCGTGCCCTCTCCTTGCCTCACATCCCCGCCTCGTGCCCTCTCCTTGCCTCACATCCCCGCCTCGTGCCCTCTCCTTGCCTCACATCCCCGCCTCGTGCCCTCTCCTTGCCTCACATCCCCGCCTCGTGCCCTCTCCTTGCCTCACATCCCCGCCTCGTGCCCTCTCCTTGCCTCACATCCCCGCCTCGTGCCCTCTCCTTGCCTCACATCCCCGCCTCGTGCCCTCTCCTTGCCTCACATCCCCGCCTCGTGCCCTCTCCTTGCCTCACATCCCCGCCTCGTGCCCTCTCCTTGCCTCACATCCCCGCCTCGTGCCCTCTCCTTGCCTCACATCCCCGCCTCGTGCCCTCTCCTTGCCTCACATCCCCGCCTCGTGCCCTCTCCTTGCCTCACATC